CCTGTTTCCTGACAAACGTTAACTACTTACCACTTTAGGTCCATTCTATGATTTTTTTTATCAAAATGTTTTCGTTTGTAGCTGGATGTACAAATCGATGATACACACACATATCAATCAGTTATATCAATCACACATATCAGTCAGTCCGTCAGTCTTGAAAAGACTGACGGACTGACTGATACATGTGATATGATATGATTTTACTTAATTTTTCCCATAAAATGCAACTCCAACAGCAGTTTCGATTAAAAGTGTGTTAATTTGCGTATTTTAACTAAAAAATGAAGTATGTCATGAAATGTTTCCAACTGTGAAACGTCGAAGTATGCAATAAAATAGAGTAGCAGCCATGTTGGAAGCCATCTTGAATTCCTGTTGACTACAAGCTGAATTTTCGGTGACCTTTAACACGTCACGTTTTACAGGTCGAACATAATACACTTTTTTTTTTCAAAGGGACCAGAGTCAAAGGGGCAAATATTAATGTTAAAGGAGCAGATATGTTTTAGGAAAAAAAAAATTCAGATTGAGGCTGGATAGGCAGTGGAACGACCTAGATGATGACGTGATGAAGGAAGATTCCATATAGTTAGTATTACTGAGTCCATAAAATTAAGAATTTATTATGACCGTTCATGAGCAGTAACTCGACCTCATTTACTACAATTAGGAGAGTACTATTACACACACACACACACACACACACACACACACAGAGTGGGCGCCTGTGACCAGCGGGGTCCCACAGGGGTCAGTCCTAGGACCAGTGCTGTTTCTGGTATTTGTGAACGACATGACGGAAGAAATAGACTCTGAGGTATCCCTGTTTGCAGATGACGTGAAGTTGATGAGAAGAATTCACTCGATCGAAGACCAGGCAGAACTACAAAGGGATCTGGACAGGCTGCAGACCTGGTCCAGCAATTGGCTACTGGAGTTCAATCCCACCAAGTGCAAAGTCATGAAGATTGGGGAAGGGCAAAGAAGACCGCAGACGGAATACAGTCTAGGGGGCCAGAGACTACAAACGTCACTCAAGGAAAAAGATCTTGGGGTGAGTATAACACCAGGCACATCTCCTGAGGCGCACATCAACCAAATAACTGCTGCAGCATATGGGCGCCTAGCAAACCTCAGAACAGCATTCCGACATCTTAATAAGGAATCATTCAGGACCCTGTACACCGTGTACGTTAGGCCCATATTAGAGTATGCGGCACCAGTTTGGAACCCACACCTAGCCAAGCACGTAAAGAAACTAGAAAAAGTGCAAAGGTTTGCAACAAGACTAGTCCCAGAGCTAAGAGGTATGTCCTACGAGGAGAGGTTAAGGGAAATCAACCTGACGACACTGGAGGACAGGAGAGATAGGGGGGACATGATAACGACTTATAAAATACTGAGAGGAATTGACAAGGTGGACAAAGACAGGATGTTCCAGAGACTGGACACAGTAACAAGGGGACACAGTTGGAAGTTGAAGACACAGATGAATCAAAGGGATGTTAGGAAGTATTTCTTCAGCCACAGAGTAGTCAGGAAGTGGAATAGTTTGGGAAGCGATGTAGTGGAGTCAGGATCTACACATAGCTTTAAGCAGAGGTACGATAAAGCTCATGATTCAGGGAGAGTGACCTAGTAGCGACCAGTGAAGAGGCGGGGCCAGGAGCTTGGACTCGACCCCTGCAACCTCAAGTAGGTGAGTACAAGTAGGTGAGTACACACACACACACACACACACACACACACACACACACACACACACACACACACACACACACACACACACACACACACACACACACACACACACACACACAAATAATAATACCGTAACAACAATAATAAAAGGACAACTATACAACATTTCAAATCAATGATAGTAACAAGAGTAAAATAAACTATCACAAAACTATCAGTCAAACTATCATAAAGCTGTAAAAATGCCTGTCACAAAACTGTCAAACTGTCTATCACAAAACTGTCAAAAGGTCTATCACAAAACTGTCAAACTGTCTATCACAAAACTGTCAAAATGTCTATCACAAAACTGTCAAAATGTCTATCACAAAACTGTCAAAACGTCTATCACAAAACTGTCGAAATGCACATCAAAAAACTGTCAAAATGTGTCACAAAACTGTCAAACTGTCACCAAATCTGTCATTGAAACTGTCGATCATAAATCTATTGAGACATGAGGTGACACATATTAATAAAATTACAGGTTAATAAAGCCACGAGTGCTGAGTGATGAGTTAATTTGTGAGTAGAAAACTGTGTGATGCTGGCAAGTGTGTACCTGGTACCTGTGGTACACTGGTACCTGTGGTACACTGGTACCTGTGGTACACTGGTACCTGTGGTACACTGGTACCTGCGGTACACTGGTACCTGCGGTACACTGGTACCTGTGGTACACTGGTACCTGTGGTACACTGGTACCTGTGGTACACTGGTACCTGTGGTACACTGGTACCTGTGGTACACTGGTACCTGTGGTACACTGGTACCTGTGGTACACTGGTACCTGTGGTACACTGGTACCTGTGGTACACTGGTACCTGTGGTACACTGGTACCTGTTATACACTGGTACCTGTGGTACACTGGTACCTGTGGTACACTGGTACCTGTGGTACACTGGTACCTGTGATACACTGGTACTTGTGATGCACTGGTACCTGTGATACACTGGTACTTGTGATGCACTGGTACCTGTGATACACTGGTACTTGTGATGCACTGGTACCTGTGGTACACTGGTACTTGTGGTACACTGGTACTTGTGGTACACTGGTACTTGTGATACACTAGTACCTGTGGTACATTGGTACCTTGTACCTGTGGTGCACTGGTACCTGTGCTACACTGGTACTTGTGGTACACTGGTACTTGTGGTACACTGGTACTTGTGGTACACTGGTACTTGTGGTACACTGGCACTTGTGATACACTGGTAATTTTAATACACTGGTACTTGTGGTACACTGGTACTTGTAATACACTGGTACTTGTGGTACACTGGTACTTGTGATACACTGGTACTTGTGGTACACTGGTACTTGTGGTACACTGGTACTTGTGATACACTGGTACTTGTGGTACACTGGTACTTGTGATACACTGGTACTTGTGGTACACTGGTACTTGTAATACACTGGTACTTGTGGTACACTGGTACTTGTGATACACTGGTACTTGTGGTACACTGGTACTTGTGGTACACTGGTACTTGTGATACACTGGTACTTGTGGTACACTGGTACTTGTGATACACTGGTACTTGTGGTACACTGGTACTTGTGATACACTGGTACTTGTGGTACACTGGTACTTGTGGTACACTGGTACTTGTGATACACTGGTACTTGTGTACACTGGTACTTGTGATACACTTGTACTTGTGGTACACTGGTACTTGTAATACACTGGTACTTGTGGTACATTGGCACTTGTGATACACTGGTACTTGTGATACACTGGTACTTCTGATACACTGGTACTTGTGGTACACTGGTACTTGGGGTACACTGGTACTTGTGATACACTGGTACTTCTGATACACTGGTACTTGTGGTGCACTGGTACTTGTGGTACACTGGTACTTGTAATACACTGGTACTTGTGGTACACTGGTACTTGTGATACACTGGTACTTGTGATAAACTGGTACCTGTGGTACACTGATACTTGTGGTACACTGGTACTTGTGGTACGCTGGTACCTGTGGTACACTGGTACTTGTGATACACTGGTACCTGTGGTACACTGGTACCTGTGATACACTGGTACTTGTGATACACTGGTACCTGTGATACACTGGTACTTGTGATGCACTGGTACCTGTGGTACACTGGTACCTGTGGTACACTGGTACTTGTGGTACACTGGTACTTGTGATACACTGGTACTTGTGATACACTGGTACTTCTGATACACTGGTACTTGTGATACACTGGTACTTCTGATACACTGGTACTTGTGATACACTGGTACTTCTGATACACTGGTACTTGTGGTACACTGGTACTTCTGATACACTGGTACTTGTGGTACACTGGTACCTGTACTACACTGGTACTTGTGATACACTAGTACCTGTGGTACATTGGTACCTTGTACCTGTGGTGCACTGGTACCTGTGCTACACTGGTACTTGTGGTACACTGGTACTTGTGGTACACTAGTACTTGTGGTACACTCGTACCTTTTACCTGTGGTACACTGGTACCTGTGCTAGACTGGTACTTGTGGTACACTATTACTTGTGATACACTCGTACCTTGTACCTGTGGCACACTGGTACCTGTGCTACACTGGTACTTGTGGTACACTGGTACTTGTGGTACACTAGTACTTGTGGTACACTAGTACTTGTGGTACACTCGTACTTGTGGTACACTCGTACTTGTGGTACACTCGTACCTTTTACCTGTGGTACACTGGTACCTGTGCTCGACTGGTACTTGTAGTACACTATTACTTGTGATACACTCGTACCTTGTACCTGTGGTACACTGGTACCTGTGGTACACTGGCACCTGTGGTACACTGACACTTGTGATACACAAGTACTTGTGGTACACTATTACCTTGTACCTGTGGTACACTGGTACCTGTGCTACACTGGCACCTGTGGTACACTGACACTTGTGATACACTAGTACTTGTGGTACACTATTACCTTGTACCTGTGGTACACTGGTACCTGTGGTACACTGGCACCTGTGGTACACTGACACTTGTGATACACTAGTACTTGTGGTACACTATTACCTTGTACCTGTGGTACACTGGTACCTGTGCTACACTGCCACCTGTGGTACACTGACACTTGTGATACACTAGTACTTGTGGTACACTATTACCTTGTACCTGTGGTACACTGGTACCTGTGGTACACTGGCACCTGTGGTACACTGACACTTGTGATACACTAGTACTTGTGGTACACTATTACCTTGTACCTGTGATACACTGGTACCTGTGCTACACTGGCACCTGTGGTACACTGACACTTGTGATACACTAGTACTTGTGGTACAACACTGGTTGGTACACCAGTGGTCTCTGTAAGGTGATACAAGCACCACTCTGCCCTGGTGGCTGATACACTATGGTAATTAAGAGTTGTTCAGGCTATGTTATTCTTCAAGGGAAAGATCACCTTCTACATCTCTCCTATAAAATAATGTGTTTAGTGATGGTCCCATTATGGTGCTTCACTGTTACAGTGACCGCTGGTTTACTCGTGCTGGTCTGAGTAGCACTATGGTGGACCAAGGCAACAGTGCAGATAAATGGTTCAAGGAACCGACAAGTTGATATATCAGACACATGTGCAATACTTGGGTTACTTTAGGGTGGAGACGTTTCTCCACACATTGACTTCATCAGTCCAATACAAAGAAGAATAGTGAAGATACCTGAGGAGGACCAGAAATTCCAGTTAATCAGTCCATCAGTCTTGAAAAAATTGAAGGACTGATTACCTCAAACTCCTTCTGATGATCACCATTCTTCTCCGTATTGGACTGATGAAGCCACTGTGTGGCGAAACGTCTCCACATTAATGATACATAGTGTTGCACATGTGTCTAATTTATCAAGACAGCAGTGACTGCTGAGTCACTGCTGCTGGACTGAGTGATCTGAACGTAGCACAAACGTTCACCAGAACACTCTCTTCATTCTAGTTTCACTTCACCATCTTCACGCCTCGATATCAACTCATCCTCCAAAGAAAACGTTTATTTTTGTTTTTACCGTAAGTTAAGATTTTGGAAAAAGCGACGAAGACACTATGCCAGAACATTGATTTTGTGGACCATGAATTTTCCTCATCTTCAATCCAGGGTTCCTCTTACACTGTCTGAACGTTGTAATACTGGTTTAATTGTCGACAAAATGTTAGGTCAGTGGACATAGATACAACTAATGTGACATTTTATTGTGCCAACGTTTCACTCTCTAGGAGCTTTGCCAAGTCGTAACGACTTGACAAAACTCCTGGAGAACGAAACGTTGCCAAAATAAAATGTTACATTAGCTGCAGTTGTGTCCACTTGTCTGAACGTAGCTCTCGCAAAGGCATTTTTCATTTTATTTGTAATGTTATAAATTTGATTAGTTTGCTTTAAACTATTCTAAAATAGCATAAATAGACGTCGACTTAAATTCATATAAATAAAACCCAACATCGTGGCTGAGGAGGAGAGCTTCAGACACAACTGCTTTCTTGATTTTCATTCACATTTTAACACTCTGGAAACTTCACACTGGTCTTGTTATTGTTGCATGTGTCGCGTGAGGTCCTACACTTGTGCTGCACGACAGCCTGGATGTCCGCCAGATGGGCCAGCATGTTCTCAGCGTGTGGACACGCCTGTAGGTACGACTGTATCGTCCAGAAGGCTGCCCTCATCTGAAAGGCATCTGGCACATACTGTGACATGGGTTCAATCTCGCTTATATCACTAGCGTCGGTACACTCGGAGGCTCCTCCTCCTTCCGGGAACATGTGGACACTAGCGTCCTCTGAGCCATCAGGACTTTCAATATCGCTGGACACAAGCGATGACATGGTAGCCAAGTTATCGTCGGCAGACACGCAGGCATTGAAGTCCTCCATATCTAGTCCGTTCTCTTTGAGTTCTTCCAAGGGCGGGCTGTTAATGATACACTCTGATGCAGGTTTTGCGTAGCTAAGGGATGAGAAGCCACAACTACTGAAGGCCTTGGTGATGATATCAGAAGATACAGCCACCCAGGACAGACGGAGACGATACAAAGCGTCAGGCAGTGGGATAGTGAAGTTCTTGCGATCTCTAATACAGTCGCTCATCTTCTCCAAAAGTCCCCATTTGTAGTAGATTTTGAGCTGTCGAATAATCCCCTCTTCAAGTGGCTTGATTTTCTCTGTAGAACTCTGAGGCAAGAAGACCAGAATAATTGCCTTCAGGTCTGAGAGAGGAGGATGAGCTGGGTTCTTCTCAACAATCATGACTACGTTACGATGGGAGCGATAAAAAACTTCATCATGCTGCCTCACCCACTCCTCAAAGATGGCAGCCGTCATCCTGGCACTCTTGTCCTTCCTATAAGAAGCTGACAAAGTGTGAACCCCCCTGAAGCTCCTGCTGGAAACTGATGACCTTCCCACCACAAGAATGGGTAGTTTCTCGGTGCCAGACATATTGGTCGCCAAGAGGACGGTCAGACGCCTATCAGAATTTGTGTTACCCGTGTAGAACTCTCTTCGCTGTGACTTGGTCATGCGAGTCTCTGGCACCAGTGAGTAGAAGAGACCAAACTCTCCCACACTGAAAATATCGTCTAGGCCATAACCGGCCAAGACTTCTGGCATACACTTCGGAAACGTGACGGAGGAGGTTGCACTAATCTTGGGACTTGTGGATCGAGCCTTACCGTGGATAAGTGTGCCTTCCTTGCTGGTAGTTTTAGCGCTCTCTTTATTGGGCTTGATATCAAAGAA